TTAGGGCTGTTGTACATAGGGTCGCTATGAGTCGCAGGCGACTCGACGGCACGTAACAACAACAACAACACTTACCAACAACAACTACTACTATTGTGGTCTTGTCTAATTCCTTTAATGTTTGTTTTGTTTATTCTGCAGTTCTATCATTTGGTACACAGATTTTTAATTTTTTGTTGTTGTTGTTCGGTCCTTTTATTTTGTAATCTTGATGCTTTGAGTATTATATAGTATCCTTCCTAGTCATTCATTACTGTTTTTATCCTGAAATCTAATATATCGGATCAATATTGCTACTCCTGCTCTTAGTTGCCACTTGCTAGGTATATTTTTTCCTATCCTTTGATTTTTTTTCATAACTCATTAGCTTCACTTCTCAGATGTGTCTCTTTTAGACAAAATATTGTTTTGCTCTTTTTGTACAATTTGCTATTTTTCACTTCAGTAGTGCATTTAAACACTTACATTCAGTGTGTTTATCATAGAGCAAGATTTTATTGCTGTTACTTTTTTGAGTTTGTCTGTGTTGGTACTGGTTACTTTGATTCATTACCTTTCTGTGGTATCTCTGTGGGATGAACTTCCTTTTAGCATTTCTTGCAACATTGGTTTTGTTTTCATGAACTCCTTCAGTTTCTTCTTTCTCAAGAATGTCCTGATCTCTCTATCATTTTTGATGGACAGTTTTGCTGAGGACTGTATTCTCAATTGGCAACTGTGTTCTTTGAGTGTCTGAGATCCTATGTCATTCTGTTGAGAAATCAAGTCTGTATCTTACTTGCTTTTCTTTATAGCCAGGTTATTCCTTATTTTTTGTTTTGTTTTGTTTTGTTTTTAGCCACTTTCAGAATTCTCTCTTTGTCTTTGATTCTGGCAAATTTGCCTATGAGAAGGATGGGCAATCTCCTCCTGTGCCATTTACTGTCTCTGAAAATTCCCTGGACCATTAGCTATGGTTAGGTTATGAATCATGAGGTACACAGCCACAACTGTGAATTCCTGTTTTTCTTTTGAGGTCTACTATATTTGATGTTTGCGCAGCTTCTTGGATGTATATTCTCTTATTTTTCATGATATCTGCAAAATTTTATTCACAACTTTTTTAAAAATACTTTTTTTTATTATGAATTTCAATGAAAATTTACAGAGACTTTGGATTTCCACTCATTCATTGTTGCGTTTTTCTCAACCCTTCCCAACCCTCCCCCCTAGTACACTATGCTCTTGGAAAAGTAAAAGAAAAATTCTTTCATTGTTTTACAGTCACTCCCCCCAGGTCCTCTCCACTATGCAGCCTTCACTCTGGACTCCTGTCATGACAAAAATACCTAATCACATAACCCTTTTAAACAGTTTTCTCCCTCATCTGTTTCAATGCAGTATACATTATTTATCCCATCTTTCTCAGTCTCTCCCCAACCCCGAGGTCAGTCCTGTTTTACAACAGTGGCACCATGCAGTATTTGTCCTTTTGTGACTGAGATACTTCACTTAACATAATGTCTTCCAGGTTCACCCATCTTGAATAATGTTGCATGAGTTCCTTGTTTTTCAATGCAGTGTAGTATTCCATTGTGTGAATATATCACAGCTTCTCTATCCATTCCTTTGTTGATGGGCACTTGGGCTGTTTCCAACTCCTTGCTATTGTGAACAAAGCCATGATAAACATGGGTGTGCA